AGGGAACTGGCCCCCTGTTTAAAAAGTTTGAGGACCCCAGCTCTAAGTGTTCAAGTGAAAGGAGTCACATGTCTCTCATGTTAAATAAAGTGCTAGAATGATTACGTTTTGTGAGGAAGGCATGTCAGGAGCTGAGACAGGCCAAAAGTGAGGCCTCTTGTGCGAACAGTTAGCCACACTGTGAATGCAAAGGAAGAGTTCCGAGAGGAAGTTAAAAGTGCTACTCTACGAACACACAAATGGTGAGAAAGTGAACCAGCCTTATTACTGATAGGGAGCAAGTTAGTTTGAATGGTCTGGATAGAAGCTCAATCAGTCAAACATTCCCTTAAGCCAGAGCCTAACCTGGAGCAAGGTGAAAGCTGACACAGGTGAGGAAAGTGCAAAAGAAAAGTTTGGAGCTAGCAGAGGCTGTTTTAGGAGGTTTAAGACAAGTTCCATGACATGAAAGTGCAGGGTGAGACAGCAAGCAGCCCTGTAGCAGCTGCAGCACGCCATGCAGAAGGTTACTGCAGTCATCAGAAAGCTGATGGAGGTGGCTGTGCTAAAAACGGATTTTTGATATAGATGAACCAGCCTTGGATGAAAATGCCATCTAGACTTTCTTAGCTAAAAAGGTGTCAATACCTGGCTTCAAAGCTTCAAAGGACAGGCTGACTTTCTGGTTAGAGGCTAGGGTAGCTGGTGACTTTAACGTGAAGCCAGTGCTCACTTGCTTTTCTGAAAATCCTAGGGCCCTTAACAACTATACTAAATCTACTCTGTGCTCTAGAAATGGAAAAATAAAACTTGACAGAAGCTTGTTCTGTTGCCTAGAGTGAAGGGCAGGGGCACCATCATAGCTCATTGTGTCCTTGAACTCCTGAGTTATCCTCCCTTGGCTCAGTCTCCTGAGTAGCTAGGACTACGGGTGTGCATTAACATGCTAAGCTAAAAAAAATTATTTTGCAGGGATAGGGTCTTGCTATGTTGCTCAGGCTGGTCTCAAACTCCTCGCCTGAAACAATCCTCCCACGTTGGCTTCCCAAAGTGCTGGAATTACAGATGTGAGTCACCATACCTGACCATTTATTTAGTATTTTAAACCCATGTTAGACCTACTACTCAAAAAAAAAAAAAAAATTCCTTCTCAAATATTACTGCTCCTTGACAATAAACCTAGTCACCCAAGAGCTCTGATGGAGGTACACAGTGAGATTAATGTTATTTTCCTGTCCAACTAAAGCCCATAGATCAAGGAGTAATTTTGACTTTTCAGGTCTTACTATATAAGAAATCCATTTTGTGAGGCTATGGCTGCCATAGGTCCTGATTCCTCTGATGGAGCTGGGAAAAGTAAGTTGAAAACCATTTGGAATGAATTCGCCATTTTAGATGCCATTAAGAATGTTTGTGATTCATGAGAGGAGGTCAAAATATCAACGTTAACAGGCGTTTGGAAGAAGTTGATTCCAGCTCTCGTGGATGGCTTTGAGGGGTTCAAGACTTTGCAGAGGGAGTACCTGCAGATGTGCTGGGAATAACAAGAGAGCTGGAATTAGAAGTGGAGCCTGAAGATGGGGCTGAACTGTGCAACTCATGATAAAACTTGAAGAGATGAGGAGTTGCTTCTTACAGATGAAATGAAGAATCTGTAGAATCTTGAGATGGAATCCACTCCCGGTGAAGATGCTGTGAACATTGCTGAAATGACAACAAAGGATTTAGAATAGTACAGAAACTGAGTCGACAAAGCAGTGGCAGGCTTTGAGAGGACTGACTTCAATTTTGAAAGCAGTTCTATTGTGGGTAAATGCTATCAAACAGTGTCACATTCTAGAGAGAAATCTTTTGTGAAAGGAGGAGTCAATCGATGCAGCAAACTTCCTTGTTGCCTTATCTTAAGAAATTGCCACAGCCCCCAGCCTTTGGGAACCACCACTCTCATCGCTCAGCAGGCCTCAGCATGGGGGCAGGAGCCTCCACCAGCAAAAAGATAATGGCTCACTAAAGCCCAGATGATCATTAGCATTTTCCACCAATAAAGAATTTCTTATTTGGGTTTGTACATTTTTTAGACATGTTATTGCACACTTAGTAGACTACAGTAGAGTATAAACATAGCTTTTATGTGCACTGAGGAACTGAGAAATGTGTGACGCCCTTTATTGCCATGTTTGCTTTATTGCTGCTGTCCGGAACCACATCCGCAGCATCTCTGCCGTGTACCTGCATCTTTCTTGGCTTCATGGTGTCCGCAACATCACGGGCTTCTGATGCTGAAGTCCCTGCCTGACTCAGAGAAAGAACTTTTCCCAAGACGTTTTATGCCCCAGCAGTACAAAATATTTTTGGGGGGTATCTTTTACATTTCACTTATTCCATTAACATGGCTGCCTACATTAGAAAGAGCCCAACAACAAACCCTGAAATTGCTCTTAGGGCTTCCTGTGCTAATTGTGGCCAGAAGCCCCATCTCAGCTTTGATGTGCTGTGATGGACCTCCAGATAAAGAAGGCCCATGATCCTGCCGTCTCAGGCTGGTACTGACATTCCCTAAGCACCTGCATTTTGTATAGCAGAAAAATATATGGTATTTCTGTCCTCGCTTACAGGGAATTATAGTCAGCCCCTTGAAAAGATGCCATAGCTATAAGCACAGGTCCTGTGATCTCAGAAAAAACTGAAAAACAATTCTATATTTTGCTTTGGAATATAAATCAGATCCAGGGAATCCAAGTACAAAAAATGGCAGAGGAGAATGAAAAATTATTTTTTCATTTAGACACCCGCCGATTACATCTGGCCCAGAGCTGTCGAATAGAACTTTCTGTGATGATGGAAATATTCTTTATCTGTTGTTGTCTATTGTGGAAACCACTGATCAGGTGTGGTTAACGAGCATAGTCAATCAAAATTAAATTTTAGTAGTACATGTAGGTAAGGGTTATGGTATCTGACAATTTAGTCACTGGCCTTTGCATTCTTAACTCTTTGTATCTTCTAACAATATATACAAGTTGGGAGCTGTTATAAAATTGTTTAAAAGCTGGCTCGGCGCCTATAGCTCAACCGGCTAAGGC